CACACCTCAAACACCTCAAATAAATCAATACAATAATTACTCCAGTTTGTCTTTTCCAGTTGTCATTTGCAGATAACGAGCTGAATATGAATTGAGCAAATGTTGTATAATTTGTTCATTTAAAAGAGAAGCATGTCACGGAATTGCACAAAAATTCAATTATTTAAAAACTAAAATATTAAATATTAGTGCTGTCAAACGATTAATCACATCCAAAATAAAAGATTTTGTTTACATAATATGTGTGTGCACTGTGTATATTTATTATGAATATATAAATACACACACATGCATGTATATATTTAAGAAAAAAAGGTTACGTTTATATATTAAATATATTTATATATGATATAATTTATATGAATATAAATATATACATGTAAATATTTTCAAAATATATGCTGTATGTGTGTGTCTTTATATTGACGACAAATATACACAGTACACACACATATAATATGTAAACAAAAACTCTTATTTTGAATGCGATTAATCGCGATTAAATATACACAGAACACACACATATATTATGTAAACAAAAACTCTTATTTTGAATGCGATTAATCGCGATTAATCGTTTGACAGCACTAATTAATATATTTGACAATTTCTCTTTAAAGGTGTTTTATTGTACCGTTTTGCTCTAACAAAATAGAAATAATAATAGAAATAAAGATTTAACGACCATTTTACACTCTGTACAACATCTTTAAGATGTCTACATGTGAATGGTCTTCATTATAACTGGCAAAGCTCTGTGTGTAGTTTACAGTGTTATTCATCATGTCGCTTCATACTGAGCAAGTCCTGATGTGTAAATGTGGTTGAGATGATACATTTCAGAATGAGATGTTTTTTTCAGCCTTCATCATGTTCTAAACAGGCATGAGATCTTAATCAACCACGACAGAGACACAAGAAGAATCGCTTTATGTATTCCCCAATTGTAAGTCGCTTTGGATAAAAGCATCTGCAAAATTACTAAATGTAAATGTAAATGTAAATAACCTAATATCCCAGCTGCTGTGACGTCTGTTATTCAAAGAACAAAAGAAAAAAGAGAAAATCAATAACTTTTGTAGCTTTAAAGGTGGGGTAAGTGATTTCTTTATTAAGGTGGGGGAAGTTGATATTTCAAATCACCAAAACAAACACGCCCCTACCCCAAAAGGGTCTCGCCCCT